CTACAGACCAAGAAACAACAGCAGCGGAACCAATCAACATTAAAGAAGATTCTACTTCATTTTATACACAACCTAATGAGATTTCTGATGAACAAAAAATGACTGTAATTAAATCACTCACAATCTTAAAACCAACAGAAATGGATTTACAAATACAACAAATTGAGAACCAGGATAACTTGGATAATCAACTACTAAGTACAAAATTGGATATAATTGTGTGTTCTACTCAACAGATCCAAATGTCGAGACTTGAATCTTTAAAACAACAAAGGAGTCAGGTCTCCAAAACAGAGGAGGGGATGCTCTTTTTTGACCCAAATGATACCACAAGGCACAATAAGAGACTTATTTGTTGATATTGAGGCTTTGTTATGGAAACCTACTTGGCATAAAAAGAAAGCTAGAATAAGATTTAAGAGTGTGATCCAAAACTCTACATAACGGATTTAAAAGGTTTTCTAGATATGGATTGATTTACGGTTTAAGATAGGTGAATAAGACATTAGATTGAATAAACATTAATTAAATATTTGAACTTAGTAAGAAGATGTTTGTTTGTGTATTAACATGTTTGTTGTGGATATAGCAATTCTGGATGGGGGTTAAAGGAGTTTGACCTAGATATTAATTGATTGATAGAGTATAGATTTTAAAAAATAGAGTAGAAATGTATTTTTTGGAATAATATCTATGTTGTTAGAAAGGATAATTATTTGATAATTAAAAGAATAACAGGGATTTTTGAAAAAATAAGAAATGATATTAATAAATGATTACTGACTATGTTAAGGAATAAGGGAATGGAGAGACACCTGAAGTGTTAATAACATTTTTATTGTAGCGAAACAGAATATACTAACTGAAAATAGTAAAGCTTAATACAGGATTTGGATTCATATAGATGAAATGTTATCGATGATTGTTTTGATTGACTTAACTGTATTGAAATACATTAATTTGAATATTATATACTATTTTAGGGAATAGAGAGTTTTTAATGATCTAATTTGAATTATAAATGTATGATTTTGCTCTTGGATAATTGATTACCCTGTCATCACATTGTTTCCTAAGAACTTGTTTGTAAAAAGAAAAAAATCAAAAATACTATAGTCTTGATAAATCTGAAAATTAAGAAAACTGTTAAGATTTTACACCCTAAAGAGTTTCGATGAAATTATATATGTGTGTGTGTGTGTGTGTGTGTGTGTGTGTGTGTCCTTAATAGTTATAAAAATATGAATCCCGGGCTTATTTGTTCAATGATGCAATCTTCGATCTCCGGGAAGAGTATACTCCAGTTATTTATTGTTAAAACAACATTTAAAACAATAAAAACAGTTATATACAAAAATTAAAACAACTTAGTTTTCGCTGGTCCTCTGCCAGCGTCCTCAGAGTAGGGCTTAGGGGGTGGGAAGTTCTTTTTATCCCCTTGCTGATCCAATTGCCTACTCATTGCCCTCGTGACAGGGCCACTCTTCCTGATTGCTCGTGACTGCCTCAACTGTTCCGCCCTCTCTTTTTTGCACTCTAACCTGGTATTTTCTTGCTTTGTCATCCTTGTGCTGTCTCCCCCTCCCTGTGCTGTTATCAGTAGCACGTTCCTGGGCTGCTGATCTGCCTCCCGTTTTTGCATACCATTGCCAGTTCCTATTACAACTCCTTCCTCCAACCCCCCTCCTCTCCCAGCCTGCCGATTCATACACCCTTTGTTGTCCATTCCTGTCATCCTTCCCCCCCTTCCTTCAACCCTCCCACCTGTTGATTAACATGTTGCTCCTGCCTTTCATCAACCATCCTTATTGATGTTCTCTTCCTCAATATCTTTTCCTTCCTGATCCACTGCTCTACCTGCTGTTCCTGTTTACCCTCCTCCCCCACTGTCCATCTTCCCCTCTCCAATATCCTCCCCATCATCTGCTGACTTACCTGTTGTTCATCCATTTCTGTACATCCTCTCTTTTCTAGCATTCCTCCTCCTCTAACCTGCCATCCTACATGCTGTTCCCACATGCCAACATCCATTCCTGTTAAACCCTCCTTCTTAAGCTTTCCTCCCCCCCAATCTGCCGTCCTGCCTTCTATTCTTATCTGCCCTTCTCCTTTCCTGTCAGTCCCCCCCTCTCCTGTTTCCTCCCCCCCTCTCCAATCCACTGCTCTGTTTGCTGTTTCTTCCAGCATTCTTCCTTCCCTTACCTGCTGTCCTACATACTGTTCCCATTTACCGACCTGCGTTCCTATTGGACTCTCCTTCCCAAAATTTCCCCCCAAAAAAACTGCTGTCCTGCCTGTTATTCCTGCCTGCCCTTTTCCATACCTATCAACTCCACTCTCTCCTGTTTCCTCCCCCCCTCTAATCTGCAGCTCTACCTGCTGTTCCTGACTATTCTCCTCCATTCTTACTCCCTTCTCAAATATCCCCTCTCCACCCGTGAAGCGTGCCTCATCTTTTCTGTTCTTTTCTCTCTCCCCCTCTCTTTTGATCAGTCCCCTGGGGTTGGGCATACCCCTCCCCCGTGTTCTGGGCCATACGATCAATTCCGATGTTCCCAAGAGTCTTCCCTGGTCCCCTTCTGGAGTATACTCTTCCCGGAGATCGAAGATTGCATCATTGAATATATATATATATATATATATATATATATATATATATATATATATATATATATTTGTTTGAAAAAGTTGGAAAATAAATACTACTGACATCTCGTGGAGAATTAGAGCATAGAACAACAGCAACTCTGATTCAGAAATTGGCAAGACTCCCAGAAACAAAGAATAATCTGTTCCCTTGAACTTTAATAACCTTCAGCCAAATAGGAAACAGCTGGGAACAAAAAAGAAAACATACTGAGCCATCTATAAGCTTAAAAAGCGTCTGCCAAAAAAGAAAACTTTAACTGTTGTCTAAGCTCAATAATTGTTTGCAGAAAAAGAAAAAACTTTGACTAATCTTCTAGGGCGGAATTTACTAGAAGGCTTCAAGGTGGCTAAACATTCTGGATTGCAACTTTGCCTAGTTGATAATTGACCCCTGAATAGAAGAATTGTTAAATGCTTTCACTGATGCCTTGACAATTGGAAATGCATTGGATTACAAAAACCATACATAAAGATAAGAACTATATAAGATTTGGTTATTTGGATTTTGAGATTGGCTGGTTTGATAAGGCTAATTACAGAGACTATGGTATTGATGAAAGACTATTTGGGAGGGGGAGATGAAATGGATATTGCATCCATTGAAACCACACCCAATATTCCCTTCTGAAAGACCTAGCTTGGAACATCAGAGATCTGCAGGAGTAATACTCCAAGACAAGACAAGTACTTTTCAGGAGGAAATGTACACAATGCTACGACAGATTCAAATGACAATAGTTTCAAACTATGATGAGATCAAAAACAACTTTGATGACATAAATGAGCACATCTTCAATCTAAACTTACAATTAAAAAACTCTCAGAAAACAATGATAAAAAACAAATCAGATAACAGAATACAAACTAGAAGAAAGTGATTTAAATAAGGAAGCTACTAATGAAGAGAACTACAACTTAACACAAACAGAAAAAAATCTGTTTTTACAAGTTTTTATCACAACAATGAAAATGGAAAAAAATATTTTATCCTTCAGGACTTCAAAACAAATTCAAGGATAAGAAAGAAGATTTAACAAAATGGATTATAGAGCTGCCAGGAAAATTATCAGAGTCCAGGAAACAAAAAGTGCGCATCCTACTCAACTTGTCATTCTCACTCCCAACAACACTTACAAAAATACAGGAACTTCCTGGCAAGCGGAATATACCAACTTGGAAAGCTATTTGGCAAAAAAAGAAAGCTAGAGTTAGACTTAAGAGATCTGATTTGACTTACCAGATGGAGTACTACATGATTAAACATTTGTTTGAATATGGTTAAAATAATAGATAATTTTGGATATAAAGGAACCCTATAGTAAGATGGATAAGAGATATAAGTAATATAGTATTTTTTACAATATATGAAATGTAAAAATATTGGGATGATGTATGTGAATGGAAAGTTTGGATGTTTAAAGGTAATTAATTTTGAGAGAATTATGACTGAGAAGAATTATTTGAATACCGAGGGGAAATTAAGCTTAAATAAGAATTTTGAAAATAAGATTTAGTGATTTAACAAGATGAATTTTACAAATATAGTTGAAATATAAGCCGTTCAGAAAAGATGTAACATGTGGATCTTATAGGATATATAAGTAGTATAGTATTTTTATAATATATGAAATATGAAAATATTGGGATGGTGTATGTAAATGCAAAGTTTGATATTTAGATAATTTTGAAAAATTATGACTGATAAAAATGGTTTGAATATTGCGGGAAAATTAAATTTAAATAAGAATTTTGAAAACTGGGCACAGTGATCTAACAAGATGACTTTTACAAATACAATTGAAACATAAAAAATGTTATATATGGATGTCATTGTTATTTGTACAAACATAAAAAAATGTTTATATCCAATCTTGTATGCATTGAAAATATTAAGAATTATATTTATCTAATATTGACAAAGGAGAATACCATTGGAAGAAGGGAAGATCAAGTAAACATACTATTAATTATTATATTGATCATGGAATTATAGAAATTAATCATTATTGATTGTTTTTTCAAATATATGAACCCAGACAGCATGCTGTTTATTAAGCATCAAAGATTGTTATTGTAAAAAATCAATAAAATATATTAAAAAAAGAAAAAATCATAAATAAGGTGATGGCTTGGACACTTCCTTCAATATTTTTATATGTACATCTCTAAAGGAGATTCTTGATTATTCACATAATCTTGTTTGTATATGTGAGTGTATATATACCTCCACCCACACACCCCTATAAATTTAAGCATGCAAATTGGTGTGATATTACTTGAAAGTATTTCAGTTTTTTCTTTAAAACAGAAACTCATCTTAATATAAATATACACGTATATACATTTTTTAGGATGTGTGACACAGGAGAAGGGCTATTTACCTTTCAGACAAGAGAAGGTGAGATGATCTATCAGAAAGTCCACTCTGCAACACTGGCAATAGCTGAACAACATGAAAGATTGATGATGGAGATGGAACAGAAAGCACGGGTAAGACCCTTACTATTATTAAAAGATTGTTTCTTCGAAGGAAATAGTGTTTGAAATAAAATCTGATTTATGTAAGAAACCTTATATTTAATTTAATTGACAATGATTAAGCAAAGGATATTACTCGTATCAAACTATTCTTTATTAAAATTATTGTTTTATTTACATTTACACACATAACCATTATGGAAGTGAGAAAACCTTGGTACATTGCCATCAATAAGATTTTTTTTTCCTTCCTAATGAGGTAGAGGGTCAAAATACATATAATTGCATGTAAGTTTTGGCTAAATTCATCAAAACAAAGTAGAGCGTTTAAAATCTTAAAAATGTGTTTTCTTTCTTCTATGTGGAATCTATCTATCTGACTGATTGCTTAGCGACCATTTGAAGTTATGATGACGGACCTCCTGGGGGTATTTACTTACAATCTAGTTCCAATGGCCACACATAACATTATACCCGCATTCATGTGATCTCGTGCTTGGCAACTGGCTCACGTTTATGGAAGTGTGCAGCATCCTGTGGCCAATGGCTACATTTACTATGGTTTTGCTGATAAATAGCATATACTTTCGGTTTTTGGCAAAACCGTGCTCGTAACAAACAATGGATTTGCTTTATGACTGTGGCATTTGCTTTAGAACTGCTGCAAAAAAATCATAAAATCAGGCCAGTCACACAGATAACTTCCTTTATGAACATCATGACCATAGTGGGCAGAATCTATTATGGTTGCAATTCAAGGGCTATTTATAGATCTTTCTGAGAAACATAAACAAAGATGTTGGGAAATGAAGAGTATTTTTTAAAATTCTATTCATATTCCTTGTTTCGCAAATCACTAGTTACCCAGATCTTCCCTACGGTAATTACCTAGCCATTTAAGCTTAATAGCTTAAAAATGAAGGAGTTTCAGATGCCATATCTTACCAATTTGGAACTGTATAAATTAGCCATCTAAGACATCACAGCATTCTTTATTTTTATTCCGTTTTTAAAATCGTATCAACTAGTAGAAAGGTAATGCAAATGTTTAAATCATGAAGGTTTTGTATTATAAAGTTCTGAACTGCTAAGTAAATATAGGCTATTGCATTAAGTTTCACCAAGCAGCCTTGCAGCAAATTGAGAATGTTATATATCTTTCTGATTGACTCATATGGATATTTTCTCTTCTGCTAAGTTTGACTTAAGTGTTTAATTCTAGGAGACCAAGGTATTTTCAATAGAAAAGCCCATTTAGGGGAAAGTCAATACTCTCAGAGCAGCTATATGTTATCGCATATTAAATTACTGTGGATTTCTTTTTAGTTATCCTCTTGCCAGTTGTGAGAGTTGATCTAAGGAGCTCTGAAGGAAAGGAGAAAAAATATCACCAAGTACCCTTTTCAAATCTATTGATCAGAAGAATAGTTCTGATATGAAATTTATCTTACTGATTGAATTTTACATTCTATGGTATTTCTGATATATTAAATATGGGTTTGCAAGTAACTAACAAGGTCTCTCTAAAAACCTATTATAAATCATATTGCTCCAGTTAGCTTCCATATTACTTATATCACAATTCACGTAAATTACACACACTAATAGTTGAAACTAAGTCACCCTTGGAAGAGATTTGTATGAAATATAATTTAGCCCATAGAACTCAAATATTGCTTGAAATTAAATATGTTATGGTATCTTAAGTGTCATTCACCACAACTCAACCAGCTATGAGGCTTTGTACTGGCCTAATTTCTTCTTTCTTTGTCCAATTTTTATTTTAGAATAAGCCACAGTAACTATTCATGTTAAATATTGGAAGATTTGGATGCAAGAAAGGTGAAATATGACTGCAGTGTCATTATTATAAATCTTTATTAATGTAATTGAGGGACAGCAAAAATGTAACGAATTTGGGAAAATATGGAAATTATGTACAAATTAAAGATATTCTAAATCAGGGATCTCCAACCTCCGGTCTGTGGACTGGCAATGGTCCACAGCATGCCAGCAACCAGGCCACACAAACAAGCGAAGCCTCATCCATGGGATGCAGGTAGTATGCAAAACCACACCCCCTCTGGTACACAGAAAAACCTTTCTCCATGGCACCAGACCCTGGTGCCCAAAAGGTTGGGGGCCTCTGTTCTAAATAAGTTGGCAGATATATGACATAAAACTTCAAAATTTCTCTTTATATATTTATAAATATATATTTATCTATCAATAATTGCATATTTATCTATCAATAATTGCATTAATACATAGAGTAAAGGGTGTTTTAGCATATGTATATGTATAAAACAAGTAGCAAAAATCACGTTCCTTAATAATATCTTCTCTTCATGAAATATTATTCTCACCAGTTCTTTTTTATCTAATTACCTTCTAGTCTTTATCCTACTTCTTTTGCATTTTTTTAATGAAATTCATCTTCTGCTCGATCATATCTGCTATGGATCTGCTATGGTTTGAGTACAAGTACAAGGAGAATAAGATTAATGTAGACTTTCTATAGATGAGTAAGTGGTGGAAAACAAATATTTTTCAGCATGCTTTATTTCAACAGTAATATTATATCTTACATTAGAGAAAAGGGGAAGAGGTTTTCCCTCACTCATCATCCACATCCAAAACAACAAGGCTAGGTCCTGTTGAATATTGTAATTGTAAAGAGAAGAGATGAAGGAAGAGGGAACAGAGAAAAAACTTTTCTATTCCTAATGCTTGCATCTTAGTTAGGTGTTAAAAATCTGGTTTTGTTATCTGAATTGTGCTTGGACAATGTTTGGAATCATTACAGTAGACATAAGATTTGGTCATAGCTGGATTTATTTAATTAATACAGTCTTACCAGTTTATATATATTCAAGCAAGGAAAATCTGTTATTTCACTTTGTATAAATAATGCAAACAGCAGAAGTGGGCAGGCTTATTTATAAAATACAGCTACCAAGGCAGCAATAAATCTTGTTTGTTTTATAGTGTATTATTTTTTTTCCCTCAGATTTAGAAAACTTGAAGTTCAATTAAGACAGGATATTTTGAGTTTTCTTAAAATAAAAGTAACACTTCAGATTTTATTTGTTTTATTATATGTGTGTGTGTGTGTGTGTGTGTGTGTGTTTTAATATTTAAGTTATGCAATAAGTGGAGCATGGGATATCTTGGAGGCCTCCTGGGAGTGCCTATGTCTGCACTAGACCTCCCTTGGTTTCTTCCATCCCTAAGTCACCCCATGTTCTACCTAATGACCCGCATATTTGTTTAATGAATGCATTGTGGAAAGCAGGGACAAGGAGGTTGTTAGTTAGGTGCTTCATTTAACGTAATCCTCGATTTCGACATGAATGGGCAGGCTCCATTAATGCTGTAAGTCAAGGACTACTTGTATAAAAAGTTACTTTCAAAAAAGAGGGGTCAAAGAAGCCATCTATGTCAAAACTGAATGTCCCTCTTTCACCAGAGCGGGAGGGATATAATATCATCCTGTCTACAACACAGTCCTTTCATCTGTTCCAAGAAGGCTCCACACCACTGGCACTACTCAGGTGACCCTGAGGACACAGATAAACCTCCAAGTGGCCTCAGCAACTCTCTAAAAGAATGCAAGTGACCAGCTCTCTGCAAGGAATATAAATCCTCCCATTCCCCACCATCCAGTCAGAGCTGAAGAAGCTTCTTGGACGGAAAATGAAATGTCTTCAAAGATAAACAAGAAAATCCAGTTGCCTCTTGAAAAAGCACCTTTTGGACGACCAGGACCTGGATGACTGAGAATCTCCATAAACAAAATTACTATAATAATGAAAAATACATGCTTGAAGTTCCAGCTTTTGCAGAATGCCGCTGTCATGTGATCAAAATTCAAGCAGGCCCACATTTATGATTGCCCAAATGATACGTTTTGGCACAGCACTCACTTGCACCAAAGGAAGCTAGTAGACCTGCAGACCACTCAGGACAGTCTATCAGTTGTGCCACTAGCACTAGTGTTACAAACAAATCCAGTCATAGTTATGGCTAGTTCCAATTGCTGGAAGCTGTCTGCAGACACCACTAGCATCCAGTAGTGTGATTCATAGGCCCTTAACACTGTGAACATGAAATCGTTGCATCAGCTGGAGAAGCCAGTATATGCCATGTGGTGTAAACAGGGAAACTCCCTTCATCATAAGCCAAGCAAATTGCACCAGAGAAGATGACAATATGCTTCAAACAAGCCACCTGTAATCAGAGAATCCTGTTATAGCATGAAGTTTATCAACCATCTCAGATGACAGATGCTGGGAATCAGGATATAATAGTGCATTTGAAAGAGAGTTATGTGCTTCACCTTTTGCCCTGCATCTTTAGGCACCCAGACACTCACACTTATGGTATTATAGATTATTCTGTTTGATTCTTCTACATGGAAGAGGAAGGAATTCTATCTGATCCTTGTCTCAGGAAGGAAATTGGTAGTTTGTACAATATACAAAACCATCATAATATTACACATTCTTCTCTTGAGCCAGAAAATGACTGGTCACATGGGTCATCAAATGATAGATTTTGATAATTGGAAACATTTGGAGACAAGAGATCTGGTAAAAGTAGCATCTTATGTCTTCCATAATTCATTTCATTTGTAGTATTTATGTACATAGCCTTGGCTAGCAGAATCATTCTTTGCATTCCATCCTGCCTTGAATTTGTCTGAGTTAGCAACTATTTTATTAGAGGTAAATTCTCGGAAGTCGAGATTTTTTTTTTTTAAAAAAGTGTTCCATAAATATTAGTATAGTTGATGAAAGATTAATACAATGAATTCAAATTTCATTGGGCACTTCAGAGTTGGATCTTAAACCTATTCTTTCTTAAAGCAAAATGGACAATTCTGGCCCCTGATTTTAAAACCCTCTGGAAAAATATCTGGACAACCCTCTGTTAAAATCTCTGGAATGATCCAGAAGGGAGGGAGAAAAGGAGAGAGAAAGATTTGTCAACAAGAGAGAATTGTCTTGGTA